TTGGATTTGCCACAAATGATGGGTGAGATGCAACTTACACGGCTCCTGAGACCATATGCAAAAGGAATTTTAACCAAAATAGTCATCCTGATTGGAAGTTTTGTATGTGCAAAGTGCGCTTCACTCAGACAGTTTTTCCTGCCCTGCCCACTTTTAGCCTAACTGTGAAATTCTGGGAAACAGAAACTGAGGGGCAAACCCACAATCCAGGAATGGAAGTTATTGTAGATGGGGCAAATGCTTCTCATTTCTCTTCAGGAAAAGAAAAAAGGGGGTGCCTGGGTGGCTCAGTCTGTTGGGCATCCAACTCTTGATTTTTGGCTCAGATCATGATCTCGGGGTCCTGGGATCAAGCCCCTCATCTGGCTCTGCCCTCAGTAGGGAGTCTGCTTGAGAGTCTCCCTCTCTCTCTGCCCCTCCCCCCTCAAATAAATAAATAAATCTTTTTAAAAAGAAAAAAAAGGCAGAAAACAAAAGATGCTAAAAGCATAGCCCAAACCGAAGGTCAGCAAACAGAGAACTCTTGGTCCTTCCTTAGTATTTTCGGATTATAGGCTTGTCCCTGGGCTTTATTTCCTTTGCAGGCAGTTCACATGGGGCAGAGAATTCCTAGTTCACAGTTTGATTCATTTAATCCTCAATGGAATCACTTGGGGACCTATTCCAAAATATATATCCATTCCAATCTCAAGATTCTGATTACTTCTCACCCCAAATGTAGGAAATCAGTATTGCTTAAAGCCTTTTTTATAAAAGGGAATATGTTGAATCTCTTGGTTGTGCTGAAAGAAAGAAAATTAGGAGTACTGCTTTTAGGAGTTATACAAATTCTCTTTTGGTCTCCGTAGAAAATTTTTTTAAAAAAAGTATTGGGATGCCTGGGTGATCAGTCAGTTAAGCTTCAGCTCAGGTCATGATCCCAGGGTCCTGGGATCGAGCCCCACGTCGTTGGGCTCCCTGCTCGGCAGGGAGCCTGCTTCTCCATCTCCCTCTGCTTGCCACTCCCCCTGCTTGTGCGCTCGCTTTCTCTCTCTCTCTCTCTTTCTCGCTCTTGCTCGCTCTCTCACTGTGTCAAATAAAATCTTTCTATAAAATAATAAAAATATTACCCAGACCCTTTCCTCCATGGACTTAAAATGCCCAGACGATAAAAATGGCCAGGTTGAGTTGTAGGAGTTAGAATGGGGAATCAAGAGCCACAAGAACACATGCAGTAAAAATGTTTCCTTCAACCAGAAAGTACCTGAACAGTCCACTATTACTACCATTCCTGGTGGATTCTTTTAAGAATTAAGGTATTTTGATGCATCAAAGTGATGCATTTCCTAGTGAATGCATTCGCCTGGATTAGTTAATCTAACCTCACACCTGCCTTCAGCAGCAGGGGGTTCTGAGGGAGCAGAACAAAAGACATGTACATTTTGATCATCAGGAAGCATTGCACACACAGTGGCTTTGTGCGATGTGACAGTAAGGGGCTCTAAGCAAGGGAGAGCCTTCAGGAGGTACTGGGAGGAGAGGAGAGGACCGCCATCTTCGAAGAAGAGACAAACTGTGACTAGTGTATAATTGTTGAATAGGACCTGCCTGCCAAATAATGGGGTATTAAATTAATTGTACTTCATAATGTGATATTCTATAAGGTAAAACATCAAAAAATTATTTTAAATCTTTCATGATATTCTTTGATATTGTACGAATATCATTTCCGAAATACTGTGATTGCTTTTATAAACAAAAAGATCTAGTTGGTAAATAAAATTTTAACTTTAGTCTCCACAGAGGATTACCAATAGAAAAATGGAAGTGAGCAGAAGATATAAGAAATGGAAACACTGTGAAATGAGCACATCTCAAGCCACCTCTCAGGGCATTCCGGCTCCTCAGAGAACACTATTGTTGAATTAATCCATGAGTCACACAAAAGTAGGAAAGTTGAACTCCCCCACCCTGAGTTTCCTTAGAGCGCCTTCATGGTCACAGCTAGTGTGGTCCAAGCCACCAAATCCTCCCTAGATGTTCAGCTTGAAACCATGATAAATAGCATGTCACCAGATCTGCATTCACTGCGAGGTAACTGCCTACCTCACCATGGCTGGTGTAATGGCAAGACCTTTAGAAGCGTCCATTGGAGCAATAATGTCGTGTGTTGTCCTGATCAGTGTCTGAAATACTCTGCCTTGAAGACATGCTTTATAAAATACATAGTATGAGCTATGATGTAGCTCAGAAGCAGTTTATTTTAAATGATGGCAAAGGAAAAGGATTAGTCCTTTAAATTATTTAAATTTATCTTCACCTATAATATGCCTCAGATGACGTGTTCTGCCATAATAGGTAAAAACGGTCATGGGTTTCCCAAATTGATAATCCCTTCCCACACATAGCAACACACATATACCTTTTTCTTTCTCTTTAAAAATACTGTTAAAATGTTTATGGTTCTTCAGGATTACATGTTGAGCTGGGATAATAAATATGTATAAATATGCAGATGCTCTATCGAATCATTCCTTATGCCATTTGTATTTTCCAAGTTGTATAAGATAACCTTTGTGGCTTTCAAAAACATCTTCTCACACCCTAGGGGGCAAATTACCTCTATTTTCATTTCCTTTAGAGTTAGATCATTTTATAATTAAGAACTTATTGAAGCAGATTCTCCCCACGTGTAAGTTACTCCCTGGGGAGTAATTTATGCAAAGAATGCCTCTGACTTAATATCATAGAAGTCTAACTGTACAGTGGATACCTGGTATTTTTAGTCAATTTTGTAGTCATTATAAAGAATCCACTGTTTGAAAGGTTATCACTAAAAAAAAAGGTACAAATAATGTATAGTGTCATTCGAGTTTTTCAAATAAGATTTTTAATAAAGGAATATTAACATGGGCTGTTATAATTCTTGTCCAATAGCATTAGAAATACCAGCTAACAGTAATTCTGATGCTGATAAAGACTGACATTTTGTAGCTCTTTACTATTTGCCAGGCTCTTCTACATAAAATATCTCATTTAATCCTCACAAATCTATGACATTTGTCAGCTAAACCTTATAAGCCAGAGAACAAAATAAGAATTTGATCTTGGCCATGGACCCAGTCATTAACAGATTAGAGACAGGAATCTAGGAAAACAGAATAGAATTAAATCTCACATTTTTTTCCCCATATCACAAAACCTTGAAAACAAATACCAGTTCTTCTCATCTGAAACCTGAAGAAACAGAACCAATATAAATAGTTAAGCTAATAACTGTTTTAGTTGACTTTGTCTCATCTCCTGATGTTTTTATCATAATCTCTTTAGCTGGTGCTATTGGAATAATAACAGAATTCAAAATTGTGTTCATATCATATCCCTGAGGTAGGCGGAGAAAGGGTTACTGGACAAAGAATCAGGAAAATTGCCTAAATTCTAGTTGCCATCTCCCAAATCAACTCAAGGGCATCATTAACCATTTGGATCCTCAGTTTTCTCATATGAAAAATAGGGCCATAATGCTAATTTTTTGCTTACAAAGATGACTTGAACTTATTGTGAAATTCTTGATTTCAAAAAATTGAATATGCTCTCCTAAAGCTAAGTATTATCTTTTTTAAAAAATGTAAAACAATAAGAAAAAGAGGGTTATGTCTTACATTTATGTGTTTTGTATATTCCAGGGTGAGAAACTGTAGAAAAGCATCCAAATGGCAGATTGATGTACAAAGCATTTTGAGGCATATTTTGCATAATTATTTTAAATTGGGAACGGGAATAGCAGCTCTTCCTGGTGTGTACAATTTTAACAACACTTAGAATACTACCAGAGACATAGGAATTACTACATTCTAAATAAAGTTTATCTCATGGATTCATCCATAACCTCGATGCTGATGACTTAAAATCATCCTTCCAAAAGGTTCTATCTACAGGTGCCTACCCGTGCACACAGGCGAGCTGGAAATCCCATGCCCCACCATATTCCACAAAGCAGTTGCCTTACCAATAACCCCATTTGTGTCAAACCTGCTATGGAACCTAACCCTCAAGGGTGAAGCTAGAAGTCACCTTTTGTTCTCCATCGATTTCTACCTGTGTCCTTTCTTTCATTGATCCTGATTGAACTATCTTTCTGTTTGTTTCTTCCTCTCCATTTCTCCTGCCATGCATGTAATCCACACTTTCATCTCCTAACACGAGGTTTGGAATAGCTTTTAATTGGTCTTCTGCTTATTTTTGGTTAGCTGGCTGAACCCACCTTTCTAAGGGACCCAAACCCCTTCTTCCATCATGTCTTCACCCTGTTCCCTTCCTTGGATCCTTATGGCCAGCAGTATCAGGTGAAAACTCCTCTGCCTAACTCTCAGGAGCTCCACAGTCCCATATCACTCCCCCTCCCCAACCACATGGCCCTCGTTTCCAGTGGAGCCCAGTTGTCTGTCCCAGCGCTCAAGAGCCAGTGTCGTTCCAGACCGCTTCTATTCCATTCTGCTGGCAGAAATGCCCTTTGCCCTTCACATCAGCCTAACCTCATGGTACACAATCTTCAAAATCAGCCCAAATGTCTTCATCTCCACGAAATTATTTTGTTTGTATTGAAGTCCTAGTAGCCACCTGTTTTTATCATTTTCCCTGGATTTCTCCATGTATTAATTTTGTTGTATTAGTGAAATTATTTGTGTCATAAATAGATCATATCTTGTACCAACAACTTTTATTATTTTTATGGTCATGTGGAGAATGCTCAATAATATTGTCACCGTTGACGTTTTCACAGTGAACTAGGAGTTTAGAAAACTTCTTGTACCTGGTTATATTTTTCAGTCTTAGAAAAACAAAGCAAACAGTGGTAGATAGCTGCCCTTTCACTCACAAGAAACTTCAGGAAGCCTTTCAAATAGTGGCGGGCAACCCCACCCCAGGGTCCTCAAACACGAAGGTCATGCCGGGAGAGGTGGGGAGGGAGACAGGAGAGCAAAAGGAAGAAGCTCAAAATGTCTCTTTTCCCCTTTCAGCACAAATTGAAGTGATACCATGCAAAATTTGTGGCGATAAGTCCTCCGGGATCCACTACGGAGTGATCACGTGTGAAGGCTGCAAGGTAGGAGACTTTAACACAGCACTGCCCACAGCATCGTGTTTGCCTCGGGCATCCGTATACCTCCCCGTGCACGTGGTGACATCTTTTTAAAGAGGGCCCGCTGAAGGATGCTTGTGCCTACTGCTGACACGTGGGAATTTCTGCTTGGTGTGTGGGTGGGTTGGTTTTCTGTTCTTTGGCCTTTCAGGTTTTTCGTGATTGCTTACCTGGTCAGCAGCTACTTAAAAATGGATTGGTATTTAAAAGCTTGAATTAGTCACATTTACAGAGAAAGAAATACAGCTTCTTGCTGTTTTAACAGTATTGTCTTGAGTAAACTCAAGGGCATTGATTAAAACAGCTAAAGGTTAAAGATGGCAAGCCAATGGCCTAGATTTATTTATCTGCTTGAGAAAGAAGTCAGAGGTAACAGTTGCAATATGCATATGGCCATCCTTTATTCTCACATTCCAGAAAAATAAAAGTAGAAGCATGGAATGTCAGAAGTGTACCAGATAATCTCTAAATCAATTAAAAATTATCTGCCCCAACCTCCTCATTTTTCAATGAGATAATGAGGTGCAAACAAGATCATATCATTTGGCCAATGTCACTGATCTAGTTAGTAAAAAAAATACGGCCGAAAACACAAGATTTTTCATTCTCAATCCAGTGTTCCTCTCCAAGGAGAGATTCAACCAACCCTACCAAAGACAAACGAGTTCCTATGAGGAAGTTGTTCTTAAAATACGAAGTTGAAAATAGCAGTTAACATAGACCTAATCTGAAATAAGAGAAACTTGAAAGTTCACAGTAAGTTTTTAAAATTCTTCCTTAGAAAGAAAAAAAAAAAAAAAAAAACAAGCAAGAGAATAAATACCACGGAGGAAATAAAAAACAATTCCACACCTAATTTCAAAGGGCAAAATGTCACAGAACAAACAAAATGCAGCTACACTCTGCGAGTGAAAAGTGATATGTTGGCAAAGTTAATGGTGAAAGCAATCATATTTTTGATCAAAGATGGAAGCAGAGTGAATCATTAATTTAAGATCAGTAGACTGGGGGCCCCTGGCTGGCTCAGTTGGTAGAGCACGCGACTCTTGATCTCAGGGTTTTGAGTCCGAGCCCCACGTTGGGTAGAGAGATTACTTAAAAAAATAATTAAAAAATGTTTTTTAAATCAGTAGACTGAAGGAGATGTAGCACAATCATAAATTCTAAGAACCAACCTTAATCCTAACAGATTCAAATATATTTGAAATAAAACATACCATAACCATCAAATAGTGCTATGTAAAAAACAGGCAGTGTCTTCATAAGAGTCTCCAAAAAGTATGATTCCTGGAATTGAAACGGGAGCAAAGAAAAGAAAAAGAAAGAAATGAAAATAAAGTGGGAAAAGGATGCAGAGAGGGAAGAATAACATGAATGTAACTAACCCATCGACAGCCTGCTTCAAAGGTGATTAGTGATAATCCATATTTGAACATCACGAGACATGCCTTGCATTCTGTTCCTCTGCAGACTTAAAATTGAGAATCGCATGTTATCACACCTTAATGCAATTGTTTCCAACTCATCAGAAGAAACAATAAAGCAAAATTAGAAAAAAGCAATTTTTTACTCTCCTTAGAGTAAGTTATTACTACCTCTGGGAGGTAGACAAATAGTTTTCTTCGTAAACGCTAATAATTTTAGAATCTGAACCCTCCAGGGAAAGCTTTTCCACCACTGGGTTGGTTTATTATGCAATTTTAAGGCCTCTGGTCTAGTTTACAAAGTATCCACCAAATACATTTTTTTAGACCAGTGTCAAAGTGTGGCTGTTTTGTGTTTCATTGTATAAGCTCTAATAAGAAAATGCCTGCTTTCAAAATATGAGCATATGTTCATGTTAACAAGCAAAACATTTTAAACAGCAATTTCCAGAAGATTTAACTATGGAACACATATATTCCAACAGGTCAATAGTCAGAAACAAGTGTGTAGGTTCCTGTCATCTTTTCTATTTAAAGGAAGAAGACACAATCCTAGAAATTACACTGCTGTTCGGAAGCATACTCTGAAGTTGTAGCCAAAATGACATTGTACACGACACTACTTTTTTTTTATTTCCTGGGAAAACCCACATGTGTAAATATGCTGCATTTTTCTCCAAATAGAAAACTCAAGAAACTCTGTTCAGAATAAGATGTCAGAATCCCCACGTTCAGTATCAACCTCTGAATTTCCATAATATGGTTCTTGAGGCAACATAAACAACCCATTTCAAATAACATCAATTCAGCTTGTGCACTTATTCAAATTCCTCCTCATTCAATAAAATTTGAAACAGAATCTCTTTTTCATGCCAAAGACCTCATTTGCAATAATGAGCAACAGATAAGCAAGAAATGCCTCGTAATTAATGTCAAATTGCCTTAAATTAGGACTGTAGCTGTGACTTCAAAAGTCTTCTCTGTCAGCTCTTTTGCTAAGTGGCACTAGAGTATCCAAAGATAAAAACCACCAATTCTTTCTTAAAATGTAAATTCCAACTCCTCTTTTATCAAGACTGATGGGCTGAAGTTATGGCTTCTGACAGCTTTGATGGTACAGATCTTCCTTGACCTACATGGGGGTTATGTCCCTACAAACTCAGGGTGAGTTGAAAATATCTTAAGTCAAAAATGCATTTCATACGCTTAACCGACCCAACATCATGGCTTAGCCTAGCCCACCTTACATGTGCCTGGAACACTAATACTAGCCTATAGTTGGGCAAAATCATCTAACACAAAGCCCATTTTATAATATAGTGTTGAATATCTTATGTAATTTATTGAATACTGTACTGAAAGTGAAAACCAGAACGGCTGGGAGTGCATGGGGTTGTTGACCCTCGTGATCACCAGTCTGACTGGGAGCTGGGGCTGCAGCCCTACCCAGCATCACAAGAGAGCACCAGACCGCCTCTCACTAGCCTGGGGAAAGATCCAAATTCAAAATTCAATGTATGGTTTCTACTGAATGCATACTGCTTTCACACCATCTGTAAAGTCAAAAAATCATAAATCGCACCATTATATGTTGGGGACCATTTGTCCAGTTCGAATGAATTCATGGAGCTCTTTAAAATAGAGCTCACATCCAAGCCCCCAGGGATTGAAATGATGTATTCCCTATACAAATGGTTCCCAACATATTATCTAAGTAATACACATGGATCTGTGGGCACCAAACTACTCCTCGATTTGAATGGCTTGAGGCTTACAACACAAAACCGGCTGGCATTTTTTCTCTCTAAAAAGATACCAGGCTACACATCCATTTCTGAAGTTCTTCACAAGAGTGGCCAAGCTCTCTTCACGTGCCACACCATGCCATATGAGAGCCCCAAACTAAAGGAAAATCGATAATCTTGATCCTCTTTAAACTTTTCGGGGTGTTTTGCATTAATGTTGATTCTTAATACAATGTGTTAAAATATTACTTATCCTGATTAACAAGTTTTTTGGCTATTCTTAAATTTTGTGGCCAAGATGGTTGCCTCACTAGCTGCAACCCTAGTCCCAACCCTGCTCTATCCTTCTGTTGATAATTGAGGAAACCCAGATTTTCCCCTGTAGGGTTTTCTGTAAGATGACTAATCCATAACTCAGCTATGGATTTATTTAGGAGGGTAGTGTATGGTCCATGGCAGTTAAGTTTGTACCAGAAAAACCCAAATTTACTTGCAAGAAAACCTCGTACATCTCCCTAGCCTGAAGCCAAGCAAAGAGCATGAGTTCAGCTTTTATTTATTGCTTATTTTTATTGAAGACTTTATATACCGTATTTCCTTTTTTAATATGAGGTTAATTATAAGGCACATTGCTGGTTTAAAAAACAACCTTCCCAGATGCATTCTGGCCAAATTTAAAATTTTTCAAATAGGTAAAAATGCATCTTAGAAACTAGGAAGATCGTGGTACATGCTGCGCCTGCCCTCAGTACAGCTATTATGACCAACACCCCAAGTTCCTCACCCCCACAGCACTTACCATAAGGTTGTGTTATTGTCCCCATCACGTTTTGTCCTACTTGGCTTGGCAGTGACACTGTCCTTTGCCATGCCTTCTTCACTCACTGCTCTTTGAGGGCAGGAGCTCTGTTCTGTTTTTCTTTGTATAGAACAACACAGGTCACAAATGTCTTTAGTAAACATTGATTAAATGAATGAATGAAAGATCCCTTCAGCTCTCTGTCGATAGTACATATTTACCCCCAGTAGAAACATCTGTAAGCTAACCAAGGAGAAGTGTCCAAAAAAAAAAAATTTTTTTTAATTAAACTCCGTTCCAGTCACTGTAGAAAATGTAGCAAAGATGTAAGTTAATTATCTCCATTTTCTTTCTTATAAATCGATCTCCCTCCCATTCTCTTTTGGCTTCTAGGGCTTCTTCAGGAGGAGCCAGCAAAACAATGCCTCTTATTCCTGCCCAAGGCAGAGAAACTGTTTAATCGACAGAACCAACAGAAACCGTTGCCAACACTGCCGACTGCAAAAGTGTCTTGCCCTGGGAATGTCGAGAGATGGTGAGACACTGACTTCTTGTTTCTTACTTGAAGGCTTTCACATGTATGCTTTGCTGGAGTCTATTTAAACCACCAGAATGATTCTAGACAAAGGGAATTGGGGATACAAAGAAAAGAAAATGATGTGCTGGTAGTGCATGAAGAGGAAAAGTAAGAACGTATAAAAACATTGTATTGCCTCTGAAGTAGGAAGAAAGGAAAGACTTCACTATAACTCAGGGAGCAACCTGTGCTAAAGGTTTGGTGAGAGCCACAGAGGCCTAGGTTGAAACTTATCTAGGTTTGCCCACGCATGAGCGGTTTCCTAGGATGTGAGATTTTCAGAGCTGAAACCAGGGAGAGTTTCAGGCAAACTGGGACCATTTGGTCACTGGGTAAGTCTGACAGGTACACAGGTTGCTTGGTATGTGGAGATGTTAAGGAACAGCATGCATTTCTGTAGGAAGCCCAGAAGTTCTACTACTGGGCATGGACTTTTGTGAAGCATCATGAAAATTGCAAAGGCTATAACAGAAGTCCAAGTCCTAAAAGGGCTGTGTGAGTGGTGTCCTTCTCATAATATGGCCCAAATGGGTGAGGTGGGTCCCCAACTGAATTTCTTAGATTAATGAAAGAGAACAAATAAACTCAAACAAAGAATTTCATCTAGTGTTGCTTCCATTTTTAAGCACTCATCTCAACTAATTATTTCCCCACTGACTTTGGCTACAGCACTCCTGTATCAGGTTGTGAGCAACCCTGAGTCCTGGTGGCATTTCTGTCTTGTTCTCACTGTATCCTCAGGGTCTGGTTAAAAGCAGGCACCTATTTAGGTTTGTTGAATGAACCGTGGAATTCTCTTTTACCTAGAGCCTGAGACACAGACAGTACCCCTGGGACTTTTTCTCTTTATGTGAATCATTGTGGACTCTCTACCTCTGGTCACACTCCTTCTAATGAAGTTCAAGGTAGTATGAATGAGAGGGAGGGAGGGAAGGAAGGAAGGAAGGAAGGCTGGCTTTCATACTTTAAAGAAATATGGGTAATTGGCATGCACCATCTCTTAGTATAAAGGGATTTTATGAGTTACTGTGAGCCTTTTACTCATTTGAATGAAATCAGTTCTCCATAAGTCTTGATATCTAAACATATAAACTGCTTACTTCTTAGCTTGCATTCTCAGAATACTTATATCATAAATTTTTGTTTACCTTTTTTCTACTTCCCAACCCACCTAACTTTTCCTTGAGTAAAAGTATACCCAGGAGACAAATTTGACCAAAAACATTGAAAGAATCTGACTTTGAGCCCTTCAGTTTATAGGTAGCTTCTAAAGTTGCAGAGATAGAAGTTTCCAAAACTTTTCTATTAACTAACTGACTTTTTGTTTGTTTTTCTAGACTTGCTAACTGTGTAGACTACTCCTAGGGTAAATCTATTGCACTGTGTACTCCCACATAACTAAAGTGAAGAAGGTGGAGGATGGGGATTTAGTGGTTTTAAGGATTTATTTGGTGAAATTGTATGGGAACTTGAGTTGATGATTTTATACCTCATTTTCACCATAGTGAGGCAGCATATTAATTGACAGTATATGAATTGGCAGGATATATTAATAATTGAGCAAAAAGAATAAGCCATTGGTTATTTGTATTTGTTACTTCTTCCTACAATAAAAGAAAGTATCTCTTTTGGAAGGGCAGGTCTTGGGAGTCCATGCTGGCGAACAGAATTATGCACAAGAAATAGGCAATGTTCTCAAAATCTAGGAGATTGTCTGAATCCCATGGCATAAAAGAAATTGTTGGGAGGAAGGGTTATTTAATGGACAGAGCCCCAGTCTACTCTCAAGGGGGAAGAAATTTACTGCACATAAACTTGCAGGTAACAGCAATACAATGTCTAGGGATCCTGGGGATGCAGGATAATGATCCATCTTAGATTTAGGTCCAGAGACAGTCCTGAGGCTTCCAGAGACATCTTCAAAAAGATGTCCTAAACATGTCTTATGTCAAACTAATAATGAGGAGAAATGCTCAGGGATGGGAGTAGTGGTTGGGAAGGAGGCTAAGAGGCTCCAGCAGAAGCAAAAGATGATTCTTTCTAAGGGAAAACGATTCTTCTTGACTACATTATGTAGAGGAAGTTTCATCTAAACCTTCATTATAAAGGGTACCTTATAGCAAATAAATTATATCAATACCAAGGTATCTGACTAGGTTTAATCTTTTGATATGTAATGCCTTGTTTGTGGGTTGATGATTTCAAAAGCCCTAAAGTTATGGTTAATTATCTATGTCTAGTTAAGACTCAAGAATGAGAGGTGGTACTTTCCCTGCCACTAATTTATTATACTTATCTTCTACTGATCAGGCAAGTATTTTCAAGGTGCTTCAGTGGTAGTACCAGGAGCCAAGGTAAAATGCCCTCACACCTAACTTCTTTCCACGTACACCTTGCCCATCTTCCTTCAGACAAAAAGTGGCATCTTCATTTTGCTATTTGCATTTGCTTTCTATCAATTATACGTGGCACCAAGAATGTTTATTTCACCTAACCTGGTCGCCAAAGCAACATGGCTTCTTGTAGATAGATAACTTGATATAACTGTTAAAATCATTGAACTTTCATTATTTCCTGAATTTCCACTTCTATCGTGGTTTATTAGTCAAGGCCCATATATGAGTAGACAAAAAACTCAGTAACAAATTTGCCCACCAAATCTTCTCCACCATCTTTTTTATTTTTCTTTTTAATGGACCCTTCACAAACGTTAGTTGCAGGATTCTTCAGGATAACTGTTTCCAACTATACTACTACAAACAGACAAAACCCAGAAAAAAAATGCTTGGTGTCAGTAGGAAGATTTGGGGCCCCAAAGAGAAAGCATGATACTCACCTTGCAATAATTGAGTGTGTGCCCTCCTAAATGACATGCATCTGTGAAAAAACAGGAGCTGCCCTACAAGGACAGGTTTAACAGATGAGGCTTCTACTTCTCCAGAATGGCATTGTCCAATATCCAGAATGGTATCCACATGTCACTATTTAAATTTAAGTTTAAATTTAAATTAGATAAAATTAAATTTAATTTTTAATTACATTTAAAATTCACCTCTTCACTCACACTAGCTATATTTCAGCTAGTGTGTATTTCAATAGCCACATGTGGCTTGAGGCTACCATCTTGGAAAGCGTAGAGCACATTCGAGCATCACAGGAAGTTCTGCTGGGAAAGGAGAGGGATGAGAGAGAATATATTTTTAAATTATGGATAGGGTTGGGTAGGTTGAATCTGATCTTTTCTACAAAGCTTAGAGCACTATAAAAAAAGGCACATCCTTGAAATTGAAAAGAGTTAAATTAAGACCGGTTTCCTTGGTAAGCAGCAAGATGTAAGCATAGAGAACTTTACAACCAAAAGATTGTAAGATAAAATAATTTCCAAAATGACTATGTTAGTTCTACAATTGGGTTCTCTTGAAGCCAAAAACCCATATCCAGATGTCATGTGTTGGTAAGTAGAAATCTTCAAAGAATATGACTTTGTTTTATAATTACTCCAAAAAACTTCTGTTCCATTTAGAATCCCACAACCCAAATAAATATGAAAAGATTCCCAATATTTTGCATAAAATTGTTCCTTGCTAGTGTGGGATCAAGATGAGTGATAAGAGCATATCATAAGCAAATACCATCATCCCTGAATATTTATAAAGCACTTGTGATGTATACAGAATCATGCGAGTTTGAGAGCTAGCAGTTTAACAAGTGGCTGCCTCTATACTCAAGTGAAAATCATCAACAGAATAATTCAAGTTTGAGAGGGGCAAACACTTAAAATATGTGCCATTCTGATTAATGAGTAGTGGTAAGAAGAATGCTAATACTTGAAAATATAATAGTAATATGGATTTTGTTAGAAATAGGCCTATTAATACAACAAAATTTTTTTTACAAATGGTGACAAGGAATTATTTATATATATATATAAAATGTCAGGAGGGCGCCAGAACTTAGCCTTTTAAGGAGAGTTTTCAGTAGATTTATTTGTTCCATGTACTGGAATCCTTTTCCCCAAATATGTCACTACTTTTGTTACAGGAAGGGGCACAAAACTGAAACACTGGCTCACCGAAGTTTCTGAAATGAATGGAAAATTTATTCTAAAATAGTATTATAGTAATTGTCAGCAACGTTCTTGATTTAGGATGAAGACGGATAATTCCAGAATGTAGGAGAGCTTTAAGTTGTCTCTGAAACTATTTCAGTTTGTTCGTTTACCTGGTACGTCAGTACCTTGGAAAGGGCATAACTATTTACCATTGGGTTTTCAGAAGTTTACCAGGGCAGAGGTCTTGACAGCATACTTATTAGACATCGTTTGCTTTGATTATGAGATCTATGGTTAAGAGCAGATTTCTGGACCTAAAATTGTTTAATGTAGGGTCTTAACTGGGTTCACTCATTCATCGGCCGCTGGCTATAGGTCAGTCTGTGCCTCCGCTGAAGGTGGAAAGCCTTGTCTGGAAAGATCGAGGTGGCTGGGGCTGGGCTTCACAAACCTTATCCTCTAGCAAGCTAGTTGAGGCACGTCCTTTTCCTGGTGAGATATTCAATCACACAAACACCTCTGAAGCCTCTGTTTGTGTCACATGTCTATCTCCCATTGGCCCCAAGCAGGTCACATGACCCTGAGACAAGGGTGGGGCAGGGGGCCTGCGGAGAATGAAAGGGCCGTGCGTATTTGGGGGGGGGGGGCGGGGAATAGGTAAGAGGAATCAGGGTCATCAATGCAATCAATCCACCGCAATGTATATTTCACCTAAATATAGAGTGTATGGAAATCGGAAGCAAGGTTTAAATGGAAACAGTTTTAAAAAGAGACATTGCATTTATGTCTTCGTGAGAGAGGAGTTTCTCCCCAGTTTTTTTTTCTTTATAGATTTTAAACAAACAAATGCAAAACTATTCTACTAAAGTAACTCAGAAAGTAGATCTACTCCATGGGGTGCCTGGGTGGCTCAGTCAGTTAAGCATCTGCTTGGGGCTCAGGTCATGATCTTGGGGTCCTGGGATCGAGCCCCACATGGGGCTCCCTGCCCAGGGGGAAGCCTGCTTCTTCCTCTCCCTCCACCTCTCCACCCTGCTCATGTTCACTCTCTGTCTCCCTCCCTTCCTCTCTCCCTTCCTCTCTCCCTTCCTCTCTCCCTCCCTCTCTCCCTCCCTCTCTCCTTCCCTCTCTCTCTCAAATTAAAAAAAAAAAAAGTAGATCTACTCCAGCCAAAATAAAATTTTGATCTACAACAGATAGAAATTTTATATCCACCTGCATAGCTCTGTAATAAATGGCTGTACTGAACCTACATGAATGCAAAGAACAGGTTAGCAAATAAAGAAGGGTGTCAGTTAACTTCTTGGGGGGGGAAAACGTTCTTCTTTCTGAATCAAAAGTTATCATGGTTTATTTTTTCTTATACAAAAAGTTTTTTCCCGAAGGAATTTATATGTATATAAAACATAAATTTACTTATTTATAAATTTATTTATGAAATTATTATTATGTTATAATATATATGTTATTTGTAAAGATATAATATAAAGGTACAAAGAATGCTTTCCCTAAAATTTTCTTTAGAATATGGTCCATGGACAAACTGGAAATATCATAGCACATAAATGTGTGTCTGAGAAACAGAATCTAACAAAGACCGTTTCTCTACCAACAAAGTTAAACACAATGATCTAAATGATTCCAGACTCTCTAAAAATGACAGTTGAGGTGGTAAGGGGAGTTTGGTGTGAATTAAACATATGAATTGTCTTCAGTCAGAAAACTTACTATATAATCACCCCTTTGTTTTTCTGTTTAGGCAGCACCAGAACTTAGTCTTTTCAGGAGGATTAAGGAGAAACAGGAAGTTTGGGCTGCTCTAAATCCAGCCTTCATAGCCACAACCTTCCAGCAGGCAGGCAGGAGGAAGACACATGTCCCCACGCTCAGAAGTATAAGTGGCACTTCCATTTACTTCCTGCCACCCAGAACTTAGTCACATAGCTGCACCTGCCAGTGAGGGAGGCTGGGAAATGTGGTCTCCATTCTGAACAGCCGATGCTTAGATAGAATTTGGTAGCTCTGTAACCAGCAGAAGGAGATAATGAACATTGATGGAACCTGGCAGGGGACGGGGGTGTTGGGAAATGGTAGCTCTTTCACAGTAGGCAGCCTCCTCTGAGGACTCTCTGTGCTGGAGAGCTCTTAAGCACTTCCTCGTTTAGTTTTTCTCAGAAATTAAGCTCACCAACGCTAGTGACTGAATCCAGGAATCGGACCTGCTTCTACCTCCACTTTCTTTCTACATTCCCTGGGCTCCCAATAACAAAAGGTGATGGGGGAGGGGGACGCCTGGGTGGCTCGGTCCATTAAGCATTCAACTCTTGGTTTCTGCTCAGGTCATGATCTCAGGGTGGTGAGATCAAGCCTGGAGTGGGCTCCACGCTTGTCCCTCTTCCTCTGCTCCTCTCTCTGCTCACTTCACTCTCTCTCTCTCTCTCTCTAAAATAAATTAATAAATAAAATCTTTTTTTAAAAGAAGGTGATGGGAACATTGTCAGGAATGAAAAGAAAATGGAAACTCAGAGGGGAAACTCCATGTTTGTCACAGTGCCCACCATTAACATGAGCTGAACGACGGAGTGTTTGATGATTCAGACAAGATGGCCCCTTGGCTTAAAATAGTCACAGCCTAAACTGGGAGTTTAGGAAAACTAAAAAAGCTTGTGAAGAAAAATGTCAATATCCATAGCAGTTCAGGAGGTTAAGCTCTCCTAGTTAAGAAACAATGAATTCAGATCAAAGCACCATCATCAGATTACTCTGTGACCACTTACAGAGCCTCTTCCTCCTTTTTCCTTAGAATGCCTAAGGATTTTTCCAGAAGAGATGGGCAATATAAAACTTGAGGGTGGTAGAACAAGAAAGGAGGGGTAACAGTGGGATCACTTGCCAAGCACTGGATATACATAACTGCTATTTTCCAAAGACTCTTCGAATTTGGTCCCAAAAGCGAACTGAAGACAAATGCTTACTTAAAATCGTGTTTATCACCCTGTGCCACATCCTTAGTCTTACCCAATATGCTATTTAGAAAATGTGAAATACGGGATGCCTGGGTGGCTAAGTCAGTTAAGCATCTGCCTTCAGCATAGGTCATGATCCCCAGGTCTTAGGATCGAGTCCTGCATGGGGCTCCTTGCTCAGCGGGAGCCTGCTTCTCCCTCTGCCTGCCACTCTTCCTGCTTGTGCTCTTTCTCTCTCTCTCACAAATAAAATTTAAAAAAAAAGAAAAGAAAAAAAATGTGAAATAATAGGACCCCATCCAACAATCTAGTAACCCTAGTGCTTAGCTGGGGAAGCTAAGAATGAATGTTGGTTGGGGCGCCTGGGTGGCTCAGTTGGTTAAGCGACTGCCTTCGGCTCAGGTCATGATCCTGGAGTCCCGGGATCGAGTCCCGCATCGGGCTCCCTGCTC